TAACCTTGTGTGTGAGCTAAGTAAATCAACTTTAGATTTTTTTTTCTTTCAATATGAAAATTGGTCATTAACCTTGTACAACGAAGACGACTACGACGATGAACCGATTTATCCCAACCAAACATACAACATCTTAGTTCATCATCTTATGGCTTGGTTCAATGCATTTTACATTCAATTTTGTCATATCTTTTTTTTTCTACCGTACATAATAATAATGCGGCCATCCTACCAATGATGTTGATCATGTTGTTAGTTTTTATTTTCTTCAGTGAATATTCATTCATCTGTATCATCATCACGATGATGATGATGATGATGATATCATGATGAGTTTATTTTCAAAAAAAAGATGAAAATATAATCATCATACGTTCCATAGATAATATTTATGTTTCGTTCCTATGATAAAAAATAGAATCTTTCTGTTTCTGTGTTTTCTGTTTTCTAGTCGAAGGTTTACCGAATTAATTTCACGGCATCCGCATCAATCTAAAGACAAAAATAATTATTTTTTCTTGTTTTTTTTTCTTCTTGGATTAATAATCACAATAAGCTGAGTTGACGATAAAAATATTTCATACTTTTCATGTCAGAATTTTTAAAACGACACACGAATTATAATAATATTTATGACAAAATAATCATCATCATCATGTTATGATTAAAATGATGAATTACAATGAATTTAATAATAGAATTGAAATTGTCAGAAAAAAAAGATTCATGTTTACTTAATAATTTCTTCGTTTTTTTCTGATCTTTAAGATTAAAGAATGATGATGATGATCTTGTCAAGTTATGTCACGACATTTCATCTATCTTTGGCATCTTTTTGTTGTTGTTGTTTTTTATTTTGTTGACAAAAGTTTTAGGTGGCTTATGTCATCATCATCATAAAGTTTTTCATTTCTTATTTCTTATTTGACTTCTTTTCACCTTTAGATTGATTGATTGATAGATTTCACCTTACATGATGATCACCGGCATTATTGCAATATTGTTGACAGGTTTATGTCAACATTTGTTTCTTTAGAGAAAAAAAATACACCAAAATTATGATCGATTATTATTGACTTTTTGTTATTGGCTAAATGTCAATGGCTTCTGCTTCACACACAAAAGAATAAAATTCTGCAACAACAATAATAACATCAAGAGAAAACATGATAAATAAACATGATGTGCGTTGACCTATGACCGTAAATATTTGTAAACAAATATGGTTTTTCCAATAACAATGATTTTCTTGTTTTTTACTGTGCAGATTCTAAGTTGACAGGTTTAATTTTCGAAAAATATATTCAAAGAATGATAATAAGGATGATAAAGACATTTTCAATGAAATAAAAATGATTGGTGATTTTGTTTGTCCAAAATTAATTGGTTAAATTTTTGTTCAACCACAACAACAACCAAAAATATAAAAATATCCCTCAATACCGGGTGAACCCAATCATGATGATGATGACGCCATGTTGCCATAAGGGTGATTGGTTATCGTTTGTCATCAGTCTTGTTTGGCTAAAACAAATTGTTAATATACATACAATGTATACATAACCCCAGAAAAATAAGACAAGCAACAGGCTATCTATCGATTCATTTATCATAATTTTTGTTGTTGTTCGTTGTTTGTTTCATGTCAAATCTTTCTTCAAAAGCTTCCCTTTGGGATTTCTTCATCATTCAAATTGATTTTTTTTCGTACCTGTTTAATTTCTTTTTTTCTTTCGTGTGTGTCAAATTGATGTTTTTTCTTTACTTACTATGTTGCTAGTGCTGATGATTGTGGTGGTGGGTGTATGTATGTATGGACGAACATTGAACTTTGGTTTCATCTTCATTGATTATCGGGGATTTTTTTTCTTTTTTTTGGATCTTTATCGATCGATCGATTGATTGGATTTCCTACGATATTATTAAAATTTTTAATGTTTTTTTCCCACGAAAAAAATTATGAAAAAGATTTTTTCTCTCTCAATCTATTCTTCTTTATAGTCCGATTCACCCGTCTGTAAATCATTTTTACTCTTACAACATTATGAAGGTATTATCCGATCAAAGAAACGAAAAAGGAAAAAAAACACATAATCGTTGTTGATTATTTCTTTAACATGTTTTCATCATGTTTTTAATAACTTTATTATCATCATTATCATGATGATAATAATCCTGATCTTGTGATCGAATCTCGAATCATGATCATCATCATGAATTTGTTGTTGGGAACAACAAAAAAAAATGAACTGTATTTCGTATATGTGTGTTTATTCATCTTGTGATCATCATTGAATTTTAATGTTCAGATGAACAATTAAAAAAATTGATCACTTTTTGATCATCATCATCATACATAATCGATTCGATTCGAATCGATTCCAATTGTATATCTATCAATTTGATTGATTATTGAAGATTTTCTTTCATCTCTCTATCTCTTGTATTTAGAGAAAATTATCCATTAAATGATGTTTATAAATTTTTCATGAAATTCTTTTCTTTTTTTGTGGTTTTTGTGTGTGTGTTTTTTTTCATGAATCTCATTTCATCTTATTGATTTGCATTTCTCTTTATACTTGACCAAACCCCGAAAAAAAATGATGATGATAATTTGATCGTTTGAATTTAATTTTGTTTTTATTTTCTAAATTTAACTTTGTATTTATTAAAAAAAATCCCCATTCATTAGACATGATTATGATGATAATGATCGACCGGCTTGTTCTGGTTAATTTAAAATTTTTCAAGAAAAAAAAATCGATAATAATCATTCATCGATTATTTGTGATCATCATGATCATTGTCAGAATATCAATCAATCAATCAATCAAAACTATGATTGTGTTCATCATCACGTTAATGTTGATGTTATTTTAGTTCATCAGATAAATAAATTTCCCTGTTTGTTTGTTTGTTTTTTTTCTCATCGATATCACTTTATAAATCTGTTCATTTTTTATTTCATTGAATGTCAATAAAGAAGTATATTAACAAATGTGAGATATGGAAATATCAAATATTCGATACGACCGGATTACCGGTGTTGTTTTTTTTTTGTTTATCAAACTGATTTTATTCATTAGATTTGCTAAACAACACTTGGTAAATAACAAATTTTCACTGTAAATAGCATCGCAGTTGTTGATTATTTCTGAAAAAAAAACAAAATTAATTTTTTGATTAATCTGACAGCCCAAATAATAATGTGTGTGACCTAAATAGTAATGAAGATGAACAAAAAATCATTTCGATTAGATTGATGTGATTGATTGACATTTATGTATCGTACCTGTTTGTTTGTGTCATTTTCATTTGTTTTTATTTCATTTCGTTTTCGAAAAAAATGAAGATTTCTCTTCGATATGTTGTTGATGAATAATAACCTGAATAAACAAACCAAACCAAACCTACATCTTGTCCACAAATAACTAAAAAATTGTTTGATCATATCGAATCATCCTCATCATCAACAGTTTACCTTTATTGATTAAATATCTGAATAATTCATATTAAATTTGTTTTTTTACATCCAATTTGTGAAATCACGATTAACGATTTTTTTTCTGTTGTTGTTTGAAATTAACATCTGTTGTTGTTGTTCCGGTTATCCATTGATGATAATGATCAAGGTTTATTCCTTTTCGTTCTTTTCAAAAATTAATTATTAAATGATTTTTTGAATAAATTTATGATTTTGATTATATTAGTATCGATGATGATATCATTCACTGGAATAATTTTATTCAGAAACACCTTCTGTTCTGTATTATCATATCATATATCTATCTCATGAATTTTAATTTTTTCTTTTTTGCTGTTCAAAATATTGAAAGATCCGTATTATTTCCGTCCATTAGTTTTTGATTTGGTATTTTTTTTTCTTGAGTGTTTGGTTTATTAAATGATTCTGTACTATTTCAAAAAAAATACATTTAGATTTTTTAAAACAAATTAACTAAGCTTTTTTTAAAAAAGTTTACAAGCCACACACACACGCATTATATGTGCCAATCATTTGTTCATGTTGAATGTTTGAATCAGTTGGAAAAAGAAAGATGTATTTTTGATTGTATGTGATGATGATCATAATTATCTGATGTAATAATAATAATAATGATGATGATGATACGAATGACAATTATGACCATCATTAAAGTAATAATCATCAATTTTCGTTTCTATTCGAATATAAAATGATAGCTATTTAAGTGTGTCGAAATCATAAAAAATAATTTTAAAGAAAAGGAAAATGTAATGATTTCGACTAACTAGATGAACGAAATGAAATAAAACAAACAACTAACCAAACGAAAAATTTGAAACACACCATACAATTAGTTGTTGATGGTAAAGAAAATCGGTAGAAGAAAAAAAATTAGATTTTTCCCGAATTCCGAGTGTTATGATCTGTGAAAACTTAAAACTTTTTCCGTATGAATCGTGATGATGATGATGATTGTCTTGATGTTCGTGTGACATAAAGTTTTTTTTTTTACTTTCTGATTACCAATCTCACCAGTTTTTTTCCCGCAAATTTATTACCTTTTTTTTTTGCTTCGTCAAAGATGATAACCACATCTGTTTTATTTTGTCAATGTTTGGAATGGATGACATAATAACGACAATGTTGATGATTATTCAGCAACTTTCGAAAATTTCTTAATAATAATTTATGACTTTTATGTGTTTTATTGGTTTTAATTTCATCATTGTGTGTGTGTGTGAATATTGAATTTGAATAAAATTTGCGTGCGACGTTCGTGCATACCGCACCTTTATAATTACGAAGATTGAATAATTTGTTTTTATTCGGTTAACATTATTCTTGTTTCTTATCATTTGGTTCCTGGTTTCTTAAAATATTTTTCTCCAATGTTTTTTTGTTTGTTTGTTTGTTTGTCATTTAATTCAATTTCCTATTTATAATTTGATTTGACAAGAAAATTAATTTTGTCTTTTTTGTTTTCTGTTTTTGTTTTCTTTGAATATATTTTTAGCAGCTGAAGATGAAAATATGGAAAAAATATCTACCCTAGTGCCAGTATTCATCAGTAAAGGCGTAAGTATATTTGAAACAAATCAAATGTTTGAAAATTGCTTGAACATTTCATTGTTTAATTTTCTCACACATTATCCATCCATCATTATATGGGAAAACAAAATTCGTGATTTTAATCTTCTTCTTTTTTTTTTGATTTAAAACAAAACATTATAGGGAAACATTGTCGAACGAGAAAATGCTGAAATACGTAAGTCATGATTGTCATTGACAGTAAAAACAAACAAATTGTTTTTCTGTTTATTTGTTTGTTTGTTTTTTTCATTTTAATTAATTAACTAATTAATTAAAATTCTATTTCCGGATTTCGTATTTTTTTTCGATTCGCATCATCATTATTCGTCACATTGTTTGTATTCGCAATCAATTTTCATCATCCTCATCAACAACAACAACATCTGTCTATTTTTAGGTTTGCCTTGTGAGATTAAAGATCTGGGTGAACATGCTTTTATGTGGAAATTCAATACAAAATTTTTATATGTCGGTAATCTAACCATACAACAATTGAATGGTGTTGAAAAGGATACATCATCCAATGGTATTATAATTAAACGATTGAACAATGATCTTACTGGTATTTATAGGTAATGTATCGCATACACACACTCAAACAAAATGTTTGTTTACTAATACATTTAATTTATTCTATCCAAATCAATAAAGGTGTGAGATTAGCTCAAATCCACCTCGTATGATTCAATATAATGTATCAATGCATAGTAAGTTTCTTCTTTTTTTTCTTTATTCTTAAGAAAATCTAAATGATTTTTTTTGTTTGTTTGTTTGAATTATTATAGCTGCACCAGTAATCATACCGAATCCGGCCAACAAAGACAATAAGGTTTGTAATTGAAAACTGTTTCAATCAATCACAATCATATCTAATCTTTAATTCGATCCAATCATATTATTGTCATACTTGAACACATATCATATATAGGTGGTCGTATCACAGGATCAACCATTGGTATTACATTGTAACATTGCTACATCATCATCATTATTGCCGACAACATTTCAATGGAAACATAATGTAATTTTTTTTAATGCGATTTGAATTGTTTTGAATTTCAATTTCTTTTCTTCCTTTTTTTCCTAGTCAAAAGTGATAGAATTGAATCGAACAGAATTTGTTATCCAAACTACACAATTATCTGATGCTGGTGATGTTATTTGTAAGTTTTTCGTTCAGGTTTTTTCATAGTTATTGTTGTTGTTGTTGTCAAAATGGATTATTCTTTTTCATTTTGTTTTATGATTGACACTAATTTTGCTTGTCATCACATTTATGATTTTTTGTTTTTCTTTTTTTTCTCTTCGAATCTTTTCTTCTTCGTTTTTATGAAATGAATGATGAAATTTAATCCTAATCATGATCCATTCAAATAATCGACTTTGTCATCGTTGAATTTATATTATTCCTATCACTGTGTGTGTGTTCATGCATCATGATAATTCATCATAATCTTCAAATGTTATGGAAAACAAAATTCATCACAAAACAAAAACAAAGGTGAAGCTCGTAATGAAATTGGCAGTCGTTCCCATACATTCAAAGTGATTGTTCAAGGTTTGTTGATTACAATTATTACGATTATATTTTGATGACCCAAATTTTGTTTATTTTGTTTTTATAAAATAAATATAGCCAAACCAGTCATAACACTTTCGGAACAAATTGTACATGGACCAGTTGGTACTGATGTTGAGATAAAATGTATGGCTGAAGCATATCCATTTGCCAATATTGAATGGTATTATAATTCGAATCAACCGATTCATGTTTCAAGCAAACATAAAATTGTCAAGTATGTTTAGGTTTTTTCTTTCTTGTTAATTATTGACACTTCAAATTAATAATATTTTCTTCTTTTTCAATGTTAAGTAATATGAATGAACATTCATCAACATTGACCATTTTCAATGTTGGACCTAAAGATCATCAAGATTATTTCTGTTTAGCGGTCAATTCTTTGGGCGAAGAAAAAGCTTATTTTGCAGGTAAGTGATTTGGGTTTTGGTTTTTTCCTTAACTAATCTTTTTTCTCCTACATACAAAGTGACTGGCCGACCATCTAAACCGAAATTTACTAGTCCAAAAGTCAGCCATAATGGTGATACGTAAGTAATATAGGTTTAAAATATGACAATGTGGTGTCAACAATCAAATATGATTGATTGGCTGATCAGGCGTGAGAAAAAGGCGTCATACGGATATTTGACTTTTTTTTCTTTTTTTCTGTCAACAGTTATCAATTGGAATGGGTCACTTTTTCACAACCACCAATCAAAAATACAACATTAAGAGTTCGAGAAGTAAGTTGAATGTTAAAATATTTTATGATTTTTTCGAATAACATTTATCCCATTATAGATTGATCATGTGAATGGACAACCAGGTGAATGGCAGATAATAAATGTTGAACCTACAGTTTCGGATGCCACAGCAATGAAAACTCGAGAACCACGTCGTCGACAGACATACATGTTGGAAAATCTTGCACAAGATAAAAGTTATGAAGTTGATGTTGCAGTAGCCAATGACTTTGGCACCACAAAAAGTGATGTATTTGTATTCTCTACTTCCGGTAAGTTTCATTTTTTTTTGTCCAATAAAATTGAATTTTTAATGAGTTGTTCATCAATTTTTCTAGATTTCACCAGTGCTGATGCTAAATCATTAGGAATGAATTTCATAATGATGATATTCATGTTTTTGTTGATCTCGGTGATTGCTTAATTTCTTCTGTTTTCGTCATCTTTTCATCTGTTTGGATTAATCAATGCACACAAATCTTTTATTGCTGCTAAATTTTTTAAATTACTAATCACGGAATTAATAAAGCGCCCAAATACATCATCATCATTATTATATTTTCTGGCGAAATCAAACATCTCATCATAACAATTATACAATTCAAATTCAATGATTTATGGCTAAGTCATCACCAGTGGCCTCACAATTTATTAAACACATCACCAACTGGATATTCTATATATAAATAAATTCGACCATCATCATCATCATCATCATCATTATCACACATTACATTTCCATTAAATATCATTATATTTTAACATACAGAATTATAAATTATGATACGATAACAAACACACACACATACACAAATATAAGCCATTATCGTTGCTTTTGCTATATATTTTCAATAAATGATAATTTGTGATTTTTTCTTATCCTAATCACACATTTAAATATAAAACATTTTAAAAATTCAACAACAAAAACGAAAAAAAATTATAAAAATTCTGTGCCCACAAAAAAAAACAAAAAATAATGATTTTGTAATTTTTTATAATAATCATCCTTAACCATTATCAATGCTTATAATATTTGTATTAATTTCTTCTCGTTTTTTCTGGTTCTTCACGATTCTTCACAACTTTACACATTTTGATTATCACATAGAATTCATTCACATTTCACAAAAAAAAAAAATAATAATACAAAAGAAAAATTTCATTGCCATAATTAAAACTAAGAGACATTAAACGAATATAATAGAATTTTCAATCAATAACTATTTTTTATTAAATGTTCGATGGAAAATATTTCATTTTTTTCTTGTGTTAAAAAAAATTATATTTTTATCGAATCAATTTAATTATCTTTTTCTTGTTTTGTACAGAAACATTTGAAATAAAATAATGATAATAATAATGGCCTATAACGAATGTAATAACACAACATTACACAGCACAATAAAAACAAATTCATAATTAAATTATAATGTTTATTTTAATTCTTTCTTTTTTTCTTCAATAATTTTCCATTTTAATTTTTATACCAAGCAATTGACAATCTACCTGTTTATTCAATTAGTTATGCACATGACTAATACAGGTGTTTATCAATTTGATTAATGAAAATTTTGCTAAAGACATCAAAATGAAAAAATCAAAAATCAAAATTGTTTTTCTTAAATGATCTTCATTAGATGGCGCCACCATTTCTTCGAAAATAAATTTTTCTCAGAATGATGAAGAATTTAATGCATCTGCAATCGTTGCTACTACAACGGTAGATGTTGATGATGAAGATGATAATGATGATGGTGTGGACTCCGAATCAATAGCATTCATCAATGGACAAAGAATAGATTTGGTGAATTCCAATCCATAAGTAGGTATAGAATCTTTTTTCGGTCGTCCTTTTGGTTTGGTCGGTGGAAATGGACATCCATTTTGCATTACCTATTAATTGATTGATTGAATTAATCATATCGATAATGGACAATATATACCTGTTTTTTCCATTTCATACGACGATTTTGATACCAGGTTTTCACTTGTAATTGTGTTAATCCCAATGCAATCGCCAAATCGGTCCTAACACAATTAATTTGTCAAAAGTTAAAAATTTTTATCACTTATTCATTAAACATTACCTATCGGGTGTGGAAAGATATTTTTGACTATCGAATCTACGTTCTAGGCCCATTAATTGAAGCTCAGTGAATACAGTTCGATTACGACGAATTTTACGATATCGTTGATTGTGATTACGACAATTGATTGGTTCCATATCTGAATCCTGATCCGAATCGTTGGAACCTGAAGATCGCGACAATTTCAATGGACAATTCAAATCCGGTTGCTGCTGCTGTTGTTGTTGGATTATTTCATTCGACATATTGATTATCATTTCTAAGCTAGTAAGTTTATCATTTCTTTCTACATTATCGTTATTATTATCATCATCAATGCTTTTCAAAATTAATGATGGTTTTGCATTTGTTTTGGTACATTCATTTTTTATTCGATTTGATTTACCAATTTTTATTCGATTACGAATATTCAATGATGATTGTTTAGATTTGTTATTCTGATTTGTTCGTTTCATGTTTTTCGATTTTGTTTGTGTACCATTCATCATGGATGATGATTGTTTTACCAAAGTTTTTTGTTGTGGTTGAAATTTTGAATTGGTCGACGGGGACGATGATGATGAAGATGATGATCCAATTTGACTATCCATTGCCGTCGTTGTAGTATTAACCATTTGTTGTTGTATTGCATAATAACAAAGATTCTGATAGAATCTTTGCTGTACAATTGGATCTGTCAATAATAATCGATTATGATCATTTAATTGTTGATTATCATTATTATTTGAATCAATAAATGATCGCATTATACTTTGATTATAGCCATCAGTCAACGTTGGTAAGTGTTGTTGTTGTTGTTGTTGGTTTGTTAATAAAAGCCAATTGAATAATTGATTTCGTTGCTGTGGTTGTTGTTGTTGCATAAATTGAGAATTTAATTTTCTATGTTTATCATTATTGGCAAGAATGTCACGAATTAAAAACGACGAAGATGATGATGATGATAATGAAGAATTATTTGATAATTTTTGACCAACCATATCAAAATCATTTAATAAAGTTGAATTTATTTCATTTTCCATGATATAATGTTGTTGTTTTTTGTGGATGTTTAAATGGTAAAATCAAATATGAAAATCACAGGTTTATTCTTTGAGGTTTATTATATACCCATCACTAGAGTGTTTTGTTTTGTTTGTTTTTTTTCGGGTATGATTCTTTTTTATTCTATCCTATTTTCTCTTCTCAATACAATAGATGGTAATTTATTTTGCATAAAAAAAATATACAGAATATAGAATTTTGTGAGAATTTCATATTCAAAATACTTTGACATATCCTAGTCATATTGTGAATAAATTCAATGATGTAAAATTTTTTGGGAAACGCGTGTGCGCGCGTTTCCAAACAAAAAAAAAATCTTTTTATTGTTATTGGTTATTATCATTATTTTTGTTGTTGTTGTTGTATATCCTTATCATCATCATCTTCACGATATAGGATGATGATGATGATGATATTATTGTTTGTTGGTGATATTCGATTCTAGACAATTTTCACAATTCCAGAAAAAAAAGAAAACTTGGTTCATTCTTTATTGTTAAGAAATGAATTTGTATATTTTTTTTTTCTTAAATAAAAGAATTCTGAAGTTGATTCTTTAGTGAATCTTTATGATTATTATAATGATGATAGAGAGAAAGTTTTTGCCATTTTTTTCCTCTGATTGGACTATACTGATAATGTGATGTGATTTCTTTCTTTTTTTCTTCACCGATAATATTGCTCTTCATCTTTCATCTTCAGCTATTTCGGATTCGCGCGCGCACACACATACACACATCAATTGATCCAAAATTTACAAGGCGGTACTCTTTGGATAAGTAGAAAAAAAATCATAATGAACATCCGATTGTGAACAAACACAGATTCATTGTTGAAAATGATGTTGACTCTGACTCTTCATGTATTCTTGTTGTTGAAAAAAGGCGGGTTTACGGGTGTATCATAGTTTTTTTTTGGAACATTTAAGCATCCACAATATACATTGTCAATCATATATAATAAACCCTTGGTTCTAGAAGAAGGTATATGGTACGATTAACTAATAATTCTTTTGTGTTTTGGCACCATTCAAAACTATAGCGAGAGAAAGTGAGAAGAGATAATAATCATTTTATGAAACACTTTTACAACGAACAAGAATTGCGAGAATTCTCTTTGTCATAATCAAATAAATGGCCACAACACAAAAAAATTAATTAACTTACAACCCTCAACTTTTTTGATAAACTATAGAATCGTTCGATTCTCAAACTAAAGTATTCATTATAGTGTAAATTCTTTATTTTTTTCATTAATAATTTTCAAAAGAGTAAATAGTTTTGGAGCAAAATGAAAAAACAATAAACAAAAATGGATTGCTTATCTTTTTGGTTGTAGTTTTTTTTGTTTTGTTTTGTTTGGAATTAATGAGATTTTTTTTCCCATTTTCCTTCACCCTTTATGATTACAATGTTTTCACACATTAGGCAAAGATTCTTTCTTGCCAAAATAAACAAAATAAGATTTTCGCTAACTAACTAACAAACATTTATGGACAAATTTATCATCATCATTATTTGAATATGAACTACAAAAAGCTTAAATTAAGTCATAAGTAATTCAAAAAAATCAATTCCACAAACAAAAAAAACAACAACATTAAAGTCTAATATCAGAATTGAAAAAAAGTTCATTTCGGTAATCGATCATTTGACTGAAAAAAATTAGTTAAAATATCTTGCATAACAGGAATGAAATTTTTAGATTATAATCCTGACAACAATCAAAAGAATATTACTAAAAAAATGCGTATTGATTTGTAATCAATAACTCATTATTTATCCGCAAAAAAAACAAACTTAATCAACAACATTATCGACATCAACCATTGAAAATCGAACATCATCAATTTTTTTTTAAATATTCCTGATGACAATATTCGAAAATTCTGTGTTGTTGTTGTTCGGGTAATTGAAAAAAAAAAAATCTTTCATCACCATCATTATGATTATGATTATTATGGTGGTGGTTGTATCGAAAGAAATTGATAAGAATCGAACCCAAAAATGAAAAAATTTCAATAACCGCGACAAAGCCATCAATGTTTACGACAAAACAATCATGTTTTAACGATGTAAACAACAACAACAACAACAAAGAATTTTTTGGGTGAAAATAAACATTGGCCTGAATCGCGCGACCACACGCACATCGAAGTTGATGATAATCAATAAGATGATGATGATGATGATCAATGAGAATCGAACAATAGTTTCGGTTTTTTTGTTTGTTTGTTTGCTTAAAATTCAAAAAAAACAAGTTTTTTTTGGGGTAAATTTTCAACCCAAAAATAAAATCAACTAAAAGTCCCGTAATTGATCTTTGATTCATTCACACACACACTCAAATAATCATATCGGGAATAAACATTTCCGATATATGACCGGTTTTTTTGTTGTCTGTCATATCACCCCAAAAAAAGAAAAAACATTGTCTGCCCGTCGATTTTAAAATTTGAATTTTTATTTTCTGAATGGGGATCATTTTGAAAATTGAATTTTGTTTTTTTTTCATTTGAATATTTACGTTGTTGTTGTTGTTGTTGTTTTTTGATTTTAGTTTTTTTTATCATTTAATAGAATCTTTGACGAAAAAAATGAATTTTTTTTGGTTAAATCTTTTTTTTTTTATTATCAAAATGTAATAAGATTATTATTGTCGTCGTTGTTGAAAAAAAAGAATCGTTTTTGTGAACAAATCATTTGACCCTCACCAGGATTATTATCGTTGTTTGGTGTTTGGTGTTTTGACATCCGGACATCATCATTTTGTCAAAGTTTTTTTAAAACAAAATTCAAATACTGTCCACAATTTTTTAAATTGGAAATTTTTTTTTTCCAACAAAAATCCATTTTCACATTTTCATTGATCATGCATGAATTCATTTTCAACAAAAAAAAAACAGTTGTTTCTTTTTCTGAGATTTCTTAGCTGATGATGATGACAAATCGATCATTCAATTCATTTAGTTGCATTTCCTGTACATGTAATATATATCCAGTCGTCCAGTTATATAATAGATTTATTTTGTTTTCAAAATTCAATTTTCAATCATTTTGTTTCTGAATGTTATTCAAAAAATGAAAATCGATTTTGAATTTTTTTCTATTTTCAGTGTTTAAAACATTTCCGTCAAAAATCGAACATTCATTCTTTAATCTCATCAATTAATTTGTCATTCAATATTGGATCGATATTAGTTGAACAAAACGGAAATCATCGAACACCATAATAATAATAAGTAATTACATTTGAATTTCCGATAGCAACAAAAAAAGTGTTCAAAATGATCTGTCCAAATGAATAAAAAAACTGTAGAAAAAAAACGGACGACAACCATTAGTTAACCATTATCATGAATGAATGAAAATTATTATTCGATTTGAATAACATTTTTTCTATTCTTGTTATCTTGAACCACTTATGCTTGATTGGATGCTTGATGTTTTGTGAATAACCATCATTCATTCATTGAATTCAATTCAATGGGGTAACATTCATTGTATAATTATGAATGAATGAATTTATCTTTCACTTTTTCTTTCATTCAATTCAATTCGGATTCATTGAGTTTTATTTTATCCTTTTTTTTTCGCCATTTAAATCATATATAAACGTTTATTAGCATCATCAATGTAGAGAAAAAAAAACAATTTTTTCTACATTTAAGTCATCACCATCATCATAAGTGTGCGTGTGTGAAATGTACCGTTTGAAAATTGAGAACAAATTTTCATTGAAAGGGTAAACATTTTTTTTGTTGTTGGTGGGGTGGTCGATGATATCATCGTTTATATCATTATTACGTATTTTTGTACATTGAATGAATATGGTTGATGATGATGATGGTTGGTTTGCGACATCATTATCACATAATTTGTAATATGAAAAATTACAAAAATTTACAAATCGAAATCAAATTTTTTTTTTGTTGCAAAAGAAATCATTTTAATTCGATAATGTCCTCATGCACTCGATAAAGAATTGAAGCGAAAAAAAATGTTTTTTATCATTATTTTTTGTTAGTGTGTTATTGTCGATTAGTTAAAATCATCGATAAATCGATTTTCAAGTATTATTCAATTGATACAAATAATGTAAATGTTAAAATGAATAGAAAAAATAATAATGGAAATATATAACGTGCATAAACATCAATCTGTGCATGTCTTGTTGTTGTTTGAAAATGTTGTGACATTCGACGTTTTAATGTTGGTCGATGTTGTTGTTGTTGTTGTCCATTACCAGTATTATCTTTACCATCATTCCACATTGTAAGTGTTGATGGTGGATCTTGTTTTTTTGATTTTAATTCTTGATCACAATGTATCATATATAATGCTATTGCAAATTCTAATAAATTTGCAAATACAAATATTATACAGACAATATTCCATATTTGTAATGCATAAACATATGATACATTAAGATCAGATTGAATTTGTTGTGTAATTAATGCCAATAATGCTGTAATTGGTAATGCTGTACGTGCTGGTGATATGTTTGTCGGTATCCAAAAACCAATAAATGTTATTATAACAATAATGAATGATGGAACTAAACGTTTGATAACATATTTTCCAATATTACGTTTAAATACAATACTACCATATAAACATGAATATGAACCAAAACGATATTGTTTTAAACAATTTGATTCATGATCAACACGAATTACAGTAAATTCTGATTCATCAACATGACTACCAATACGAAATATATTCCATGATAAACGCATAGTATTTGCATCATCAGAAGCTATTTTAGTCATTCGTATAACAAACAAAAACAAAATCAAAAATTTCTTTCAAAATCAAACATCATTAACTTACTTGATGTAAGATTCATATAACAAATTTGTGTATCGAATGGAAATTTATAGAAATTCATATGACATGTAAGTTTTAAACTTAAACGTACAGCCATAAATACTTCGGTATAATTAGTAATAGTAAAATAATATGTAGGCGTCAGAATATTCGATATAGAACCTGAAACAGCATTTCGAAAATAAACATTCGGTATCCAAAGACGATTTCGCCAACGATCAGTCAAACGATATTGTACAACATTTGAATCATTTGTTTTCATTTTTGTCATTGCTTCGATATTTGTTGGTGGTTGTAAACGATAATCATTCCAATGTTGATGATAGAAAATATCTACATCAAAATCCTTTTTAAATTAAAAAATTATTCATATTAAGATGATAAATTAATATTTTCAAATTTTACCTGTGTAGAAATGGAACCAATTTTCAAATTCAAAATAATGACCGATACTTTTACCTGAACAGGATGACCATCTTGCATTGGTGCAACATTTTGATGATAAACATCGGGTAATATACCGAAATCATGATCAATGGATCGTTTCAAAATCGAATGATGTTTGTTAATATAATTCAAATTTGTAGCATTGATTTTATTTCGAACAACTATTGTTAACAACAACAACAACAACAATATCACAGTCGAAACAGGATTCATCATCATGAATCTTTTGTTGGTGTGTAAGGAATGAATTGATGAATAATAATAAAACAAACAAACAAACAAATGTGATGAATTATACAAGTTTATATGTCGATTCTTAAACTTGATTAATGTTTTGTTATGTAAAAATTCATAAGATGAATTTGTTGCCAAAAAATAAAAACTTGTGTTTTTTGTTCGACCAACTTCAAGACAATGATTTTGTTCATGAATAACATCGTTTAGAATGTACACACATTCTATATACAGTTACGCTGAGATTTATTGTTTTTTTTGTCGTTAATAATTTATTTTTAAAAAAATTATTTTTTTTAAAGAATTTCAAATTCTTTTGAGAAAAAAAATTGAGAAAAGAGAGAATCTTTTTATGTAATTTGAAAAAATGTATAACTTACAATGAAAGATGTTTGCAGACATAATTTCGAAACTTTATTTATTTATTTTTTTAAAAAATTTATAAAGTTAATAATAATATCTGGTATGGATGATAATCTCAAGTGAAATAATATACATCATCACTATTATTCGCCTAGTTTATTTCTTTACTTTTAGTTTGTTTTTGCTTTTTTGGATTCAAACTTCATCATAATGATGAAAAACAGTATAACATGAACGAATTGGATGATGATGATGATGATATTTCAGTCATCATTCAAAACAAAACAAATTGCAATCTTTAGATATCATCTTATTTTTTCAAATGAATGAATTCTTTTTGTTTTCTTAAAATTCAATTGAGCCTAACACCCACTTTTTTCTGCTAACATTGTAATAATAAATGTAATAAAAATGTACAGATTCGCAAATAACTTAAACGTTATTCTATCACACTTGAACAAATCGTCAATCATCATCATCATCATCATCATCATCATCATTCGAATCATCACATCATATGTATTGTACGTGTGATTTTCGAAAAATTCTTTTTTTTGCTTTCTCATCATCATCATCGTTGTTGTTGTTGTTGTTTATCCAAATTAAAAACATTTTAACAAAGCAATAGAATTAAGTGTGTTTGGTGAAAATCCAAACCTTTTCCTAACAACTTCAATAAATTGAAATATGATCCTGTTAACCGAAATGAAAGGCGATGAATATAATGAAATTCATCTTGATAAATCGATATTTGAATGTTATATTCGGTTGTCAATAAGATTCATGTTGTTGGGAACATAAGGCCTTGACTTTGAATTAAACTCCGGCAAAATTATTAAGATGCAATCATAATGAAATTTTTTTGATTGAATTAAATGTTTTGTCAATATATTGTTTGATTAGGTTAAATACATTCCGAAAATAATTTATCATAATGATTTTGTTGATCATTGCGGTGATCTTCTAATTTAGAATGCAATCACAATAATTATCATTAATTGTTTGTTCTTTTATTGCGTGATTTTTTTCTCTTTCAAGTTTCAATCCTTGAAAAAGCAAAGAATTTCGAAAAACTAATCTTATCAAACCTGAATATCAGCAAATATATTCCATGCATGATTGAACATCGACGATATTTTTTAAAATGAACCTAAAAATCAAATTCAAACAATCATTTGGTTATTTTGTTGAAAATTTTAACAACATTTACACATCACAAAATCAAAACCTTGATCAAAACTACAAAAAATGACTGATCATCATCATCATCATTCTCAATTGGTGCCATTCATGATGATTATCATTATGATTGTTCTAGGGTCAACCACCATTAATCCGACAATGGCCGATAAGGATTCTTTTTTAAGTTCCCTATTGGATCGATTTAGTAGACAATCATCTAATACAAATAAAAATGACAATGATGATGATTATGGTGAATTTGTAAATACCAATTATGCGGATTCATATTTTCGCCGTTTCGGTATATTATCGGTGTTTATAAATCGTAATGATAAATCGAAATTATTAAATCGTTCACCAACATCTGTAAATCGTCGTCGACCAGATAATTTTGTCGGTTATCGATCAAGATCATCAAATCGACCACGAACAACATCAACATTTTTTCGAGATCCATTTCTTAACGAAGAAGTTGAATTTGTTACAAAATTTTCAAATATTTGAACACCAGAATCATATTTGTATCTTTGCGACATCTATCGATTAATAATTGTAATATTTTTTTTCGAATGAATGTCATAAAAAAAATTTTGGTCGCGATGGTTTCCTGTATTGATGATCACAACATCCATGTTTTTTTATCACTTTGGGATTTATCAAAAAAAAAAAAAAATTTCTTTATTTTATTACCACCCGATGTCCATAACCATGTATTTAATCCTATTTTTATTTAAAGTAAATATAGAAAATAAAAATCATAAATCACATCAAATTATTACCTAAACACACACACACACACACGGAAAGATTATTTTCTGTCAATCTTATTTATTAATCTTTATGTAAACGTGATTATTATGATTTTCTTTTTTTTTTCTTGTTGATGAAATAAATTTCACCAAAGATTATTGATTGAATGAATCGTCGACGAGAATCTATTAGTCGATATCGACAATCATCACCACCACCACCATTATCGACGTCAAAAAAACGATCATTTCTTGAATTACGTCAACCATCATCAACATTATATTATAATAATGGAATTATTCTTTCATCATCATCATCTAATCAAAGTTCAACATCATCATCATCATTGGCTAATAAATATCGATTCTATCGATCATCATCGGATAATAATCATCTTGATGATATTTATCGTTATCGTATTAATTTTGATCGAATGCTTATCAAAATCAATCAAATCAAATTGATTGTTTGTGCTGGTTGCATTTTTCATCTGGTAAATCTATTTTTTCATTATTGAATTTGATTTTTAAAATCTAACCAAAAAAAAAATTCATTTGTTAATAATTATAGGCATTCATAATTACATCAGATTTTACCATGATACAAAAATCATCATTGTTATCAGCAAAAGAATCGAAACAAATTCATCAAAATAATTCATCAACTATTTTCATTGAATTTGAAACAATAACAATAATGTCGACTTTTATATTTCGATTAATGGGATTAGGTTTTGGAATGATAATCGGTTGTTTGATTGAACCGGAACGTCATTTATTTATGTTTAATCAATTGAATACATTTCATTTGAATTGGTTAACATTTATCATTATTACTGTATTGGATATAATTTCAATGATGATATTTCCATTAAATTTACCATTTATGGAAATGTTTATGATTGTAATGAAAAGTTCAATCAGTGGTATACAATTATTATTATTACTTTATGCATTATTCGATATAAAAATTGATCCATTAGAAGAACGGGAAGCTAAATGTTATATTCAATTATATTTACTGATGTTTATAGCCGGTTTTCTTTCGGCATTATTATTATCATTATATTATTATTCGAATCTTTTCGGTGATAATTCTTCAATAACGGTTCAATCCATAATTCGTTCAATAATTGGATGTCGAATATTTTTATCATTAAATTGGTCAACATTATCATATCTTATTTGGCATTATGTTGCATCAATACATAAACATAATATTGTACGTGGTGTTGATTTTGAAGAATTTCTTGATAATTATGCTATCGACAATGATTGTACACGTTATATAACATTGAATTGTGTTGCACTTGCATGTCAAATGCGTCCAGGCATTAATGTTGATGATCATTTTGATGAAGATAATTTTAGTATTCGTACAGTGGATGGATGGCAAAAAACTGGATTCACTATTATTAGTCGGATACAATTTGCAATGGCTTTTTATCTATGCATTTCATATCCGATTGGATGTTCAATTTGGCCAGAGCAATATTATCCTAAATTTCTAACCGGTAAATTGATCAAAAATGAATTCATGAATCTTGTTCATAAATCTAAATTGTTTTTTGTTAGGGTATCACAAATTTTCATTGTTTCTTATTACAATGGTCATCATACTTTTCATACGAATTTATTTACTTTATCGAACGGATTGTATTCAAAACATACGTGAACGTTTAGGATGTTTTACTTTCATTATCGTTTTATTTCTATACATTGCGGCAAATATTATTCAACTATTCAATGATCGATATGATGAAAAACATTTTCCATTAGTTATAATTGCAAATATTATCATCGGATTGTCGATTGCTCAAATGATGGATGAAATTTGTCATTCGATTATTGATCATTTATCTATTACTGCTCATTGGATACGTTATACGATTGTTACAACAATTATTTTTCAATCCTTTATGTCGGTGATTCATTATTATATAATGGAAAAATTGGCAAAAATTCAATGGATTTTCTATCTAAACATATCAATCACATTGTTTTTATTAATTACAATGATTATCATTTCACAATGTAGATGTTTAAATATCAATAGTGGATTCGATCTAATTGAAATGCAAACAATGGAACCGTTATCAAAAATTCTTAATGATCATCATGAAGATGGTAATGATGATAATGTTGAAGTCGAAGATTACATACAAAATGAAATGATTTCACCAACCGGAGATCAAACATTCTATCGAACAAATGGAAAAAAACGTAAACAATCGATGGTATCGATATTTGCATATCGAATGAGATATCGTTTTGAATCAATTATATCAACATTTAATTCAAAATAATAATTAATTTATTAATTTATTAAAACAATGATTAACAAGGATCACAGATGATGATAAAGTCATTAATTATGTTCATTAATTGATTTTCTTTGATACAATCATTTCGAAATCGGGTCGTAAACGATGTCCAATAATGGCCATTAATAGTACGATTAAAGCTGTTGATATTTCCAAAAGGAAAAATACAGTTTTCCAACTATAAATCTGTGCTAGCATTGTGAATGGTAAACCAGCAATGATGGCACCGACTGTATTTAAAAAAAAGGTGAAATTTTCCATAAATTAAATCAAAAGATAAATTTACCATTAGCAGCTAATGCAACGATAGCATGTGATGTACCGCTAAGACTTTTTGGAACAGATTCTGTTGCCACCATACCGAATATGATGATTGGGCCATATAATGCAATTCCAAGAATGAAACCTAATATTGCAATGAATAAATGTGATGTGAAGGAATCAACATAAAAACAAAATGAATGTAGAGCAAATGTTGACAATGTCATCATTGCAGTTGCAACAGGTAAACGATCACAGGAATTCGATGACTTATTTTTTGCGGCAATCATTTTATCGCTAAGATAACCGGCTAAAATGGCACCGAAAAAACCACCCGATTCAACTGTTGATGTAAAACTTGATGCAATCAGTTGTGATTTTTGTCGTTCATTCATTAGATAAAGTTGTCCCCAATCACAGGCAGTTGTTTTAGCTGCAAATACAACAAGATACGAAATCGATAATAACCAGATAAATGGGCTTTTCAGTAATTCTTTCCATTTTATTGGTGATGATTTTTTCATCTTTTCATTTTTTGTTTCACTTTCAATGGCAACCATGCCGGTGATATCTTCGGGACGATTCGATATCATAAACATTGATATTATGGCTATAAATATGGAAACAATTCCAAATGATATTAAGGTATTTTGCCAACCAAAATTCTTTGTCATTAATGTAGCCAGCAATGGAGATAGACCACCAGAAATGTTTGCCGAAGCACTTAATACACTATAATATGTACCGAATTGTTTGTTAGATGTCCATTGTTGAAGAATTTTCACTAATGATGGCCATCCAAATCCTTGAGCAAGACCATTTAGAAACCAAAGTATCGTGAATGATGTTAATGTTTGTGGCCCAAATGCTAACAAAACGGTCGTCAAACTTGATAGAAATAAACCATTGATGAAAAGAATTTTTGCCGAAATATGATCCGAAAGTATACCACCAATAAATTTTGAAATTGTATAGGAAATACTTTGTGCCGATAAAATTATACCGGCATCATTTTGATCAATAATCGATGTAAATAATAATTCGGGTAATATTAATGAAAATGATTTTCGCATTAAATAATAAAATGCATAGCTAATGAATAGGGTGATGCATATTTTTATCTGATGGTATCGATAAATCTGATGTTTTGTTTCATCATGATTCTTGTTCATTTTTATTGGGACAGAATAGATTATTGTTTTTGTTGAAAAACCTATTGATAACCAAAAAAAAAAGCAGCAAGGACATCAAAACAATAAAAAGATCCTATTCTAATCGCTAGATGGTGTTAACATTCGAAATGTTATAAAATTTTTTTTTTATTCGACATTTATGAATGTCACATAATTGAATCGACAAAATCGAATTCATTTTCTTTCGAATATATTTAATCAAAAATTCCTTCCGTAAATTTTTGTTTTCTACTGAAATTGGAATTTCTATTCATTGAATAACTTTTTGACGATAAAGATTTTCAGATTGATCCAGAAACAAAAAGGTTTGTTGTTATCGAATGAGACAAATTTTTTGAATTGAGAGAGAGAGAGAGTGGGAGAGAGAGAGAGAGAGAGAGAGAGCGAGGGAAAAGAGAGAGAGAGAGAGAGAGAGAGAGTCTCTTTCGCTTTGCGTTTCTCTCTCTCTCTCTCTCTTTCGCTCTCCGAATGTGTTCTCTATGGCTGATGCTTCTCTCTCCTGACTCTCTCTCTCACTCTCTCTCTCCTAACTAACTCTCTTTCTCTCTCTCTCTCTTTCCCTCTCTTATATTTTTCCCAACTCTCAAACCAACCAGCCATTCGTTGTCGACGTAAAATTTGTTTTGTTTTGTTTTGTTTGCTCGAAAATCTTGGAAAATTGAATCATCTTTTTTTCTGGTAACCATTACACATTGATTGGTGGTAATTCAAACGAAAGAATCAATATCCTGAATTGTGCAATAAATATCCCAAGAAGAAGAGATCCAAAAAAAAAATTAGCAAACGAATCCAAGTATGAAGTTTGAATATGCAAAGTATTATTGGTCATTCTTATGAACATCAGCCATCATCTGGTTATCATTTGGTTGCGAATACCTTGCCAATGTCATATGTTTTAGCCAATTGTGCTACAATTTCACAACCATTATCATCATCATCATCATCAATAACATCCGATATAATGCTAATGTCATCGGGATCAACTTCAAACAATTATACAAATAATACCAATTCAACTAATAACAGTAATCAACAACAAAAAATGAATATGAATCAATCATTGGATAGTCAATCATTACGTATTGAATTGGAACAAACAAAAAATAAACTTCATTCGAAAACATATGAATGTAATAAACTGAGACAACAATTAAAACAATTTTCAACTGAAATTGAACAATATAAACAAATTTTATCAAGTTTTACTCAGAATCATGGAACAACAGATCCAAATGCATTATTATCTGGTAAGTGATGTTTTTTTTTCAGCACAGCTTAACAATCAGTCCTTAGTTATAATCATTATTCATCTAACCTAGCTGAACTTTTTTCCGTTTCCTTTTCTGAATCATTCCCTCTCTGAGTTAGTCAAACAAACTCAGTTTTCATAATACTAATTTCATCTCTCTCTCTCTCTCTCTCTGCCTTTGCGGAGCTGCAGCATACATGAGAATTGTTTAAATGATGATACTCAAAGAGAGAGAGAGAAAGAGAGAGAAGGAAAATATTGCTACATTCGCTTTATGTTGTTTTCTAAATATTCAAGTTGATGTTGCCGCCATTTTGGCCCAAAAAAAACATTTTTCTCTCTCTCTCCCTGGTCTGTCTAGTGCTCACACATATGCGGAATGTTTTTTCCTCGAGAAGAGAGAGAGAGAGAGAGAGAGAGAGAGAGATATTATTTTCTGAAATACAAGTTTGAATGCAAACCCCTGTATAAAACATACCAGACGAGTGTACAAAGAAGCATACTGGGTTGTTTGGCGCCCAGCATTTAATACACAATGGTCCCATTTCTTGTATGGTATGGTATTTTTACAGTGAAACTTCACCATTGAGAATCAAAAATAAATGCTATCCCTGAAGAATAACGGTAATTTTTTTTCAATTGAATAATCGACTAATTGATATGATGTCTATTTATTTGTTGGATGATCAATGAATTTGTTTTCTATCTACGTTGAAAGAGATTGAATACAAATCTTCACTTACTATATCTCCCTGTCATTTTTTCTCTGTTTCTCTCTCTCTCTCTCTCTCTTACTGTATCAAAATATCCTTTTGCTTTTAACCGAAATACACTTATTTGCAGAATTGTTAGAGTGGAAAAGAAAAGCTGGGATAGAGAGAGAAAGAGAGACTGGAATCGAATTGAAAAAAAGGAAATGCCTTTATCATCATTCATTTCTGTTCAAATTCTTGTTCATTTTGTATAATGGATATCATAGGTTTTTTTCTAACAAAAAGTGTGTTGTTTTCTGATTCGTGCGAAGGGGATGGCGGGGGGATGATAAACTGATTTTATTTAAAAAGTTTTTATCCATCATAACATCATCATCATCACTTATGGTTGATAGAAATAAAACTTGTGAACAAAAAAAAAATGTCTACCCTGAATCGGAATGGAAATAAGCAGCCACACACACAAACAATTAATGAATGAATGAATGAACATGGGAGAGAGAGAGAGATTGGAACCATTGAGCCCCCCACACATACACACATTTACGTTGAACAATTTTGAATCCTAACACCATTCAATGGAGCAAACGCAGAATTTTCTAAATTTTTCTCTATTCGTTTTTTTTCCAAATATAAGGAAGATAAACAAGGGAGAAAGAGAGCAAGAAAAAAGATGATGATGATGTGTGTGTTTGTGAGGGTGTGATTGAGAATCAAAGAGAGAGAGAGAGAGAGAGATAGATGGGAGAGAGAGAGAGGATATCAACCATACCCTAACTTTAACTTGTTTTTTTTTATATATTTCCCCAATGTTGTATTGTTTGTGCATGGTTCGGTGTATATATGAAAGATGTGTATACATTGTTGTTGTTGTTGTTGTTGTTGTTATTAGTGTTGGGTCTTGGCTTGAATTCAAATCAATGAATGAATGGAATGGGGAATCCTATGTGTAGTGTGGTTGGCTTGGTTGTGTTATGATTTTTTGTCTTTTTCTCTTCCCTCACCCCAATAAATGTTTATGATGATGATGATGATGATGATGGGGAAGGAAAAAAAATAAGATGAAAGAACGATGATGAGGAGGAGTAGCTTTTTTTCAAATGAGATATTTTCTTCTCGTCGTTTTGTTTATTTGTTTTGGATGTTACACTTCTTTCTCTCTCTCTCTTTTTCTATGAAGAGTGAAGTTTATTTTTTTCGGGGAAGGGAGGAAAAGAATTAAGAAACAAAAATTAATATAACAACAATTCTTTTCAACAAATCATCTGATTTTGGATAATTTTGATTTGTAAAAATAAAGTGTTTAATAACGATGATGAACAATATATCATCCGCATCATCATCACATACAAATCTAAGACATATTGGTGCTGCAATGATGATGGGTAATGTTGGTCATCATCATCATCATCTTAATAATCAACAACAACAACAACAACATCCGAATCAAATTCAACAACAACACAGTCATCATCATCAACAACAACAACAACAACATAATCATACAGCGACAAATTTATTTCCAACATTAGCATTAGGTGCGGCTGCCGCTGCAGCTGTAACGCAAGGCTCAAATGCGACAAGTGCCAATGTCATGGCCGTCTTGGCTAATGCTGCTGCACGTTCACCATTTAAACTAGTCACTACCGGTGGTGGTACATCACAATCATTTGGTTGTTAGTGATTTATTTTAATTATCTTTTTTTTCATTTATTGAAACAGAACAAATTTTTCAATTTATTTTTTATTTTTTCAATATCTATTGATTAATGAATTTTTTTTTGTTATTGGATATAATTTTACAGTAAATCTATCAACAATCGGTAGCCATACAAATGGTGGTGGTATAACCAAAACAAAAGATACTAAATCCAAAGGTGGACATTCTGGTGGTGGCAATAAGAAAAAATCTTCAACTGGAAATAATAATTGTAATTGTTGTTGTGATGTGGATAAACCATATATTTGCGATTGGGTTAATTGTGGAAAACGTTTTCGACAAAAACCACATCTTGAAGCACATCGTAATATACATACTGGACGACGATTTATTTGTGATTGGCCAAATTGTGGAAAATCATTTGTTCGTAAATATAATTTAGCTGAACATCAAAAATTACATTCATCCGTTAATCCAAATATGTGTACGTATCCAGATTGTGGAAAGGTTTTTAGTTCCAAATATAGTTTGATGCGTCATCAAAATGCTCAACATAATCTTAATCTTTGAAAAAAAAATTTGGACAAGATTATAAGATACTTCCACATCTATGCAGCTTCATTTTACCGAACGACGATTACACCCACCAAGATTGATTCTCAAAAATTTTCAAATGTGAAACAGAAAAAAATATATCTTCCAAACGACATTTTCCTTTTGATCATTGATTATCATAATGCATCTTCTCTATATATTTTCACATACAATCAATAGATTTCGTTAAATGAACAGAAATGAACCATCCAATTTCCAATACCATTCATGTATTTTTTTTCAGTGTTTGTAAATCTTCATACAATCCGTTTTTTTTTCACACAAAAACTTTTTTTTTTAATTCATTCAATTCTTTTTCTATATAATTATGAATCCATCAACAAAATCATCATCATCATCATAACTATCCGATCCATTATGCCTACGGGATCCTCTAATAATAATTTTTAAAAAAATACATTTAGAGTTTAAAATTAAGCCGAAAAAAAATTCTTGATTTTTTTTCTTGTTCTGTGTAGAATATATAAATCATTCATTAAAAAAAACTATTTCCAATCAATTGCTTGCTTGAATAATAACCTTTCATTCGTTTTTTTTTCTGGCTTTTTAAAAAAATATTCTTGATAACAAATACAGATATGTAATGATTTTTTTTCAAAATTATGATATTACATTCAATAAAAAGAAAAATTTCAGTTTGTAACAATGTTTATGGATGGAAGATCCGAGAATCGAATGATTTTTTTTTGTTTGTTTGTTTTGTTATTGATTTTGATGTGTCACACATTTTAATAAATAAACGAAACCTGTGTTTACACGCACAAACATAATTTGGCCAGCTGGATTTCCTTGAATCGATTTTTCATTATTTCTGTGTTTATTCATTTAAATGAATTAACTCGATGCATGAATCATTAGCCTCGCAATCATTGCCATCACCACCACCACCATCATTATCATCACCATCGACAACAACAATATCACAATCGCCGGCAATAAATACAAACGAATCGTCATTTGTCATTGATATAAATGCTGGCCAAATTCCATCAAAAAAATGGCCAAACACATCATCAACATTACCAAAAGTATCTGGATATTCAACCCGTCATGATCGTCAATCATCGGTACAGTTGAAAATACAGACTGGTGTTGTTAGTAGTGGTCTGGCCATCCATCAAAAGGCCAGTTTTTGGGAAAAATTTCGTCGTACAATGAATTATATTTTTTCACATTTGTTGATATTATTATCACAATTATCACCGATTGTGCAATCATTTTCCGGATTAATCATATTATTATATCTAATTCAATTCGGTGGTGAAATAACTGTCGATTTTTTTGCACTAATACCGGGTGAAATTATATCACCCGGTCAATGGTATCATACCATTATTGCATTATGGTCACACGCATTTCTTGAAACACGTTTAACATGGGTCATATTAGATCTATTGGTATTATCATTTTGTGGTACATTGATCGAACCACTTTGGGGTCATAAAGAGGTTTGTTCATTATTAATTGAAAATTCTTAACTTTCTGTATTCATTTTTCTGAACAACAGGTATTACGTTTCATGGTGATAACATTAATTCCAACGGCCATATTAACATCAATAAATTATGTAATCTTATATTGTTTGACATATGATGGTAGCTATTTATTCAATATTCGTGTCCATGGTTTTTTTGGATTTTATGCTGCAATGGCAGTAACCGTTAAACAATTACTGCCCCAATCAATATTGTTTGCAACATCTTTTGGTAGATTAAAAAATGATCATATTGCATTCACTATAACAGGTAAAGATTGTATTATATTATTGATTTTTCTTCTAAGAATAATTCATTTATTTTCAAAAAAATTGATAATAGTTATTGCCACCATATTGTATGCATTCAATTTAGTTGATGGTGTTCAAGTGATCCTATTAATCTATGGTATATTAATATCATGGCTATATCTTCGATTCTTACAACCACATACACGACATCTTTATAACTCATCAGATATGGCAATGAATACGACAATCACACGTGGCGATCTATCCGATACATTTGCTTTTGAAACATTTTTTCCTAATGTTTTACGTCCATTAGTAGCGATACCATGTAATTTAATCTATAATTTTTTTGTCCGTATAAATATCTGTCCTAAAATACCATCACCAGCGGCTCAATTATTGATGGATAATGCCGATTCAGCTGTTAATTTTAGCCAAATGCGAACACAATTATTTCCTGGACCATCATCATCGTCGCAATCGACATTTCAAAAATATCATCCACATCATCATCATCATCATCATCATCAAAAACATTACTATCAACCGGTTCCTCAACAATCGCACAACAATATGTCACAATCATTACAACCATTATTACAGGAAAATTTATGATGACAAAAAAATGCAAACAAAAAAATTTCATTGTGATTAACTCAATGATAATTCTTCTCTCATTTGTATTTGTGTGATAAATTTTTATTATTTTTCAAAATCTTAAAACATCGATCATGGTTTTTAAAAAATTTATTCAATTCTTTTTTATCATTAAAAACAATTATGTGGCCTTAATTATAATCTAAAAAATCCGAATAAATTTGCCAAAACCAAAAAAAGAAATTTTTGAATAAAAAAAACACTATTTCCACTTTGCCATTATTGGAATTATCGAAATGGAATTCTTTTTTTTTTCTTTTTTTGGTAAAAATTCCACGCATGCGTTGTAACATTATAAAATATCCTCCCGCCAACAATGATAATTATTGGGTTTCAACGGTCGCTGTATCCAATTCCCGCCTTCTTTATCATCATCATCAGCAGCAGCAGTCTTGACTTGCATGTGTATCGATATAACAACAACAGTACATCAAATACAATCGACGCCATCTTTGGACATAGTGAACGAAATAAACGTTGTGAATTCAAGCAAATCCTGGTTTTACATTCATTCATTCATTTATTGCTGCTGCAACTACAATTCTCATTTTTTTTTTCTGGTGGTGGTAAATTTTTTTTCTGTTTATTCGGTTTTTCGGATTGTTTACAATTTTGGCGCTTTTTTCGGGTTTGTGTTCTACCTGTTTTATTCTTTATCAATTTTTATTTGTTTTTTTTTGTCATAAAGATGTTTTAAAATAGAAATTTTACAAAAAACAAAATGGTTTCAACAAGTACACCAAAACCAAAAGGTAAGTTTTCGTATTTTGTCAACGAAAATCAAATTAAATTTTAAATCCTATCGCCAGGATCATCAAGATCATCACGCAGTCGAACACCATCACGTATTCCAACACCAGCTATAAAAAAATCTAAATATTTATCATCAACATCAAAATCAAATCGTTCACGAACACCAACAAGATCAATAATCATGACATCAACACCAATGATGACAAAACAGAAAAAATCCAAACCCAGTAGCAGCAGTAAAAAAGAATGGAAAACAAAAACACCGAATAAAAAATCTGATTTTGATGATTTTGTTGTTGGATCAGCGAAGAAAAAAAGTGTAAAAAAATCACATGGAAAAAAACGTAAATCAATTGTTGTTGCTGACGATGTTTATGATGATGATCTGGATATCGACAACGTTATGGATGATTATCGACCTTCTAAAAAAACACCATCAAGAAAAAAAACATCATCACAAAAAAAATCACCATCACGAAATAAATCAACTGGCAAAAAAAGCATTGTTTCGCCAATCATCGAATTCGATGATGATGATAATGATGTTTATGAAGAACATTTATATGAAGTACATGATTCAAATACTGGACTATCGTCACCATCATCATTGGTAAGACGTTCTAAACGTATCCGACATCATCATCCACAACAACAATTGAATTCAATAATTGAAGAACAATCTATTGAATTTAAATCAATTAGCAACAATAAAAATGATACAAATCAATCAATCAATGGTCAAAAAGAATCACAATCATCCAATAATAATCTTGTTACAGATAAATGGAATTGGTTTGGTTGTAGTATTATGTAATTGGGCATCACAATCATAATCCAGAAACACTTATTGAATTGAGTTTTTTTTTCGTTCTCGATCTCGATTTCATATTATTTTCGATTCGACACTTGCCATTCACAAACATTTAAAATTCATTTCATTCATTCATTTGTTATCCATAAATAATATCATAATATAATCTTAATCCAAATATCTAGATTCATATCTTTAGTTCGAACCAAAAAAGAACAAACAGAAATTTGATGTAATTTTTTTTCATGATAATCATATTTTATTTTGGTGGAAAAATTAAAAAAAAAACAAAATCTGAATTCGAATTTGTTTTTTCCATTTGATGATTTGATTACCAATAGATAGCAGCACTAGATCTGTCTGATTTTTTTTCAAACAGAATCCAATGATCATATTATTCTGTCAGGGCAAATGAAATTCTATAGATTTGTTGCAAAACACAATGCATCATCATCATATTCATTGATTGTATGAATTTTCTAAAAACATCCCACTCTATTATGATGATGAAAACATTCTTCTGATCTTTTTTTTCTTTAATACCATAAAATCTATAGTTGATTAGTTTTCTGGTCCAAAAAATTTAATTAGATTTACTTTGGTCCGGGTCCTTTATTTTCTTTTTAATGTAGTAAATTATACTATAGGTAGATGTTTTTGTTTAGTTTTAGTTTTATTATTTTTCTACTCAAAAAAAATTTTCGAAACAAAAGGAGACCGCTTTCGTTAAGAAGATGTGATGATGGTCATTGTCGTTGTTATTATTATTACTTGCAAACTTTAAAACAAACACCGCTACACAACAATAATAATTTTGAATGTTGTTGTTGGTTAATAATGTCTATCCGGGACTTGGATTTTCATTAAAGAAAAAACTATTTTTATTGTTGTTGTTGTTGTTGTTGTCAATTCACAGCCATGACAATAAAATAAATTGAAAACTTAAAGATATTCTGGCACTAACTGGGTTTCTTTATTTTTAATTAGGGTCAGTAAGCAATGTTCTTCTTTTTTTCTTTCTACTTTTTTTTCGGTAGTAAAGAAACCGAAAAAAAATAAAAATATTCCGAGATTAATTCAAATTGAATTGCTTATTTGATTTCATTTTCATTTTCATTTCTTTTGCTTCATTTGGTTTTTAATTGTCTAACAATTGATGGTGCCCTTGGTGATTTGGTGCTATCACCGTATCACCGGAATCATGTTTATTATTCAGCAAAAAAGAAAGAAAGAAAAAAAAATCCCAAATGTATCAAGGGAATTTTTATTTAACGAATTGTTTGGTTGTTACGGTGGTCAGAGTCATTTGTTTTTGTTTTTAGTTTTTGCTTTGTTTCAAAAGGAATTTTCTATTGTTCAAATTCCAAATAATAACCACACATTATACAATGAATTGAAAGAATAGATATCCAATTCAATAAATTAAATTTATATTCCGATAGGGCGTATTTTTCACATTGAATTCTATGAACGGTAAATCCTTTTTTATTCTGGTAACGATGACTACCATTGCTGAATATATTACACAATATCTAGAATCTGTTGTTGATCTGGGATCTCTAATAGACGCGATAGAACTCTGACATTTTTTTTTCTTCTTCTTCTTCTTTTACTTTATATGGAAGATCTCTGACGTAGTCGAAATTTCTTCTTTTTTTTCTCTGAAAAACCGACAAATGACGTCGGATATACTTACTGGCATATATACACACGCAGAATAAATGGATATATATAATGTCTGTGTGTTAGTGTGTATGTTCAAACAACAACAACAACAACAACGAATGCGACAATCAAACAAACGACAATGACTGTCGAAATATTGCCAACTACAGAAGAATGAAAAAACTATATCAATGAATAGATAAAAAAAAGAGAAGTTATAAATACTATTCTAAGATGTTGTGAATATTCAATTTTTCCCCTTCTCTCCCACCGCCAACTTTACATTATGGATCATCATTATCATCATTTTTATTATTCGATGTGTGTGTGTGTGTAGATAGGAAAAAAAAGAAGGATTCTCTCTTTTTTTCCAGTAAAAGCTTCTGAGAATTCTTTTATTCTTGCTGTTACTGATGATGTTGTTTTTGCTGTTGGCTTTTGTATACTTTAATGTTTGTAATCGATAACATTTCCAGAAAAAAAAGTAGAAAAAAAATTGAATAATGAAACACAAAATAAATAGATTCCCGGATATGAAATACATTGATTCTATGTTTGAATAGAGAATATTCTTAATTTAATATAAAACATTCCTTTTTTTTCCCTCAAATTGGTAGATGATATCTACGAAATTTGTCAACCAAAAACATAATGTTCGAATGCTGAAACATTTTTTCCTAGCTATCTTACCTGCATCGTCATCAATTCCTTTATAACACCTGATCATTAAAACATTTTCTATTGAAGCAAAATCAAAGATCATTATTATTTCTCATTAAAATCAAACGAAATTCTTTTTGTATCAAAGACATTGTGGATTTTTGGTTGGCTTTTTTTTCGGCCTTTGAAATTATTATTATTTTCTCCTTTCAACATCATCATCATCATCATAAATGTTTGATGATAATGATGAACCCTAAGATAATTAAGATTGTAATTAAGTTTACAATCTTGAATAAATGAATGAATGAATGTAAAAAAAAGGACATTACGGAAGTCGAAAATCATTATTTATTTTGTTTGTTTGAATTAGTTATCTCTGTTGATATTATTCATCAGTCAACCTCTATGAGAAAAAAACAAATTCTTTATTATTTACATAAATGATTAATAAGGATTTGCTATTGACATTCATTGTTGTATTTTTTTCTTCCAATGTTATATAGATATGATCTATAGATGTATCATCATTAATTAATGACATTTCTAAAATAGAAAAGAAAAACAACATTCACTCAATGTTTGCTGAAAATAGATTTTGTTTTCATCATTTAAATCAAGGTCGTTTATTCGGTCGATTCGATCAAAAAAATAAAGAAAATTCTCTTCGAATTGAATCGAAAAGTAATCGATTTCACTTAAAGCTAAAAAAAATGAAAGAAATTTTCCCAAAAAAAAAATTTCTTTTCTCTGCTTTCTCAAGGGATCATTTAATGATTGAATTGAATCGATGATGATGATGATGATGATGATTTTTTGCCTAATGGCAATAATAAGAGAATTTTGCCAAAGTTTAATCATTTAGAATCAATATGTTATTATCGTTTTGTTCATTTGTTCATCAATTTGTTACAATATGTATGTTTTTGCAAAAAAATTCTCATTTGGTACATATGTCATCATTTTAGATTGCAGCATCCATTCCAATGATTGATTGATCGATCAATTTTGATGAGGAAATGTATTTCTATTTCTTCTATTCAATAATTTATGTCCATAGTTTTTGCTGTTTTTGTTGTTGTTGTTTTGATAAAAACAATCGAGAAGGTCATTATTGCATTATATCATGTGTACCTGACCATATGATCATATAATGATGTATCGATTGATCGATCGAATGAAATTCATTAAATAATAATTATAATAATCATTGCATCATCGTTTTGTCCATTTCATTCTATTGAAATTTACATAATAATTATTACAAGTATTTCATCTTGATGATTATTTAATGTCAATCTTTGTACCCAATCCCAAAAATAAAATGTAGAATCAGAAAATAATGTTTTTTGTTTTCATTTTCATGATTTCCAAAGAAAATTTTCAATTATTCCAATATGGTGAATCTTTGTTTACTTCATTCAGAATGTAAATTGAAATTTTATTTTTGGCTTTTCCCTTGCTGAAATTTGAAATTTTTCTCGTTTATTGCTCGATTCTCGAATACCATCAAATTTCATTTTCGCTATTTTCATTGTTTTGTTGTTTGGATCATTAAATAATGTTGTTTATATATGGTCATTTTAAATGTGAAATAGAAAAAAAAACAGTAAAAAAAACTTTCCTGCTATAAATAATAATGTCTGGTCATCATCATCATCATCAAAGAAGAGCCAGAATAAAACACCCTTAATCTCAATTCCTTTTTTTTTTAAAAGTGTTTTTTCCTATTTCAACTATTATGACAAACAATAATGGTTTAGAAGAGTTTTTTTTCCTGGCTGGAACCGGAAAAAAAATATTTTCAAACGGACATAGTGAGTGGTCGTCCACCGGACAATGATGCCGATGAAAAATATGCTTGTCAAAATGGCATTAATAACAGAAGCCATTACCAATGATAATAATATCCGATATTGTTCGGGAAAAAAAACATATTTTGAATGGAAAAATATTTTTTGTCCAACCAACCACCAAAGATGACTTGTTTTCAAACTTTCCATAAATAAAAAATAGCAAAATAAATGACGATTGAAATGGAATTGAATTTCATAGTCAACCAAAATCGATCCACACAAACACACACACACATCTATGTTTAATTCATGAGAATTTTTTCATTCATTTCAAAAAATTTCCAATTTTCTTATTTCGAATCGATTTGAATATCTGTTTTTTTTCCAAATTTTTCTTCTTCAAAAATGTTTCCCAGTTTATTTAGATGATGATTTTTGATTTTTTCCTGTTGTCATCTGTGGTTGGTTGATTGATTGATTAGTTGATTTTTTTGTTGTTTTTGATTACATTGCTGTTTCATGGAAGCCATAGTAACCTATTTTTATCAACAACAACAACAACAAAATGAATTTTATTGTCATTTTTTTTTGTTCCCTGCAAAACAGCAACAGTCTATATACATTGGTTATTTTTCTTTCAATTCAAATAGAATTTTTTTTATTTTGGACAATAAAAAAAATGGTTCCAGTATGTGAATAAGTCTGTAGAATCAACCAAACAAAACAAAACAAAGAAAGAAACTAAAAACCACTACTAAAAAAAATCAATGAAAAAAATTTGGATCCATAATGAAACATTCAGGCACAAACAGGCACGCAATTCGGATCATTGCATTCATTTATATATGTGAAAAAAAACAAGTTTAATGAATTTATTTCCTTCACCGTTTTTTTATTATCATCAGCATTGTGTCTTGTTACAAGGTTTTTTCATTCAATTTGCTCTTTTCTTATGGGTTTTCGGTTTCGGTTGTTGATTGTCAACGATTTTTTGATTTTTTTTTAGCTTTTCTGGATCTAAGACATTTTCTTCAAATACGATTTTCTTCTATATTTTTTTTTTGAATTTCCTAGTTTGACGAAAA